AATTTTTATTGTGGTGAAATTGGATTGATTTTTTAAGACAAATAATATTACCATGAAGGACCCCATACATGCGTTGCAAAACAATTAAAGTAGTTCAGGGCAGCATAGATTTCTTTGGAAGAAATCAACCTGCTTCCAAAGAGGGTGGAAAGCTACCACTTGTAAGTCAGTACAAGAAAAGTTAAAAAAGAAGAGAGATGACACTACTAATCATTGCTATATATCTCAAGCTACACTTTATCCTTAAATTTTTTAAAAAAAGAAATTCCCTTTAAAGTCAATATATAATTTCTGCTCTAGAATTCTTAATTGTTTTGTTCTCTGTAACTGAGAATTGTAACGGTAGGAGCCCCAACAAACCCGCTGTAGTCTAGTGCGATTCCAATAGCTTTGGTCTAGATAAAGAGCACTGAGAATGAAGGAAATCTGAATACAGGTTCCAAAAAGCTGACTCCCTCAAAAGAGGCATCAATCTCTTGTTCCCAGTGATATCCCTTTGTCATATTTTTCCCTAGTCATTTCTGTGGTTCCTGTACTTTCATTATCTGTCTCAGCAAGAGATAGCCTCTTTGCTCTGAGTAAGACATCCTACTGAAAGTCAAGTGTCCAAGAAGCTTCTGTATTTGAAACCAGTTTACACTAGATCCACTTGGCTTTAGTCACCATTTAATTTAATTTACTACTTTTGACTATGCCCTTTATTGACACTCTAGGTCTAAGGACTATCAATCTTGTTATTTTCTTCATGGTTCCTCCTGCTAAGAAAATACCAAAGCAGTTAGGAAAAATACTGTTTTCTCTGCAAAGACTCCTAAAGAGCCTGTTGCTAGAATGAGTATTTGTCTCTACAGTTTATGTCTACAGTCATTACTATGTCTGGCACACACTATTATGCCCAACAGTAAGGAGATGAAAGAAAAGTAGACACTGACATTTTTGAAATCTTTTTCACTTGTATGGGTCCTATTCTCTAGGCTAGACACTCACTGTTGGCCAGCAATGGTATTACTTTAGTTTTTCACCATCTGTATTATTAATATTCTTTTAAGGATCAGTGTGGGAAAATGATTTAAGTGAGGTTCAGGATGAAATAATCTGATGACCAATAACTGAACTAGAAAAAAAATGTATCATTAGCTTTCAGATTCCAAATGACATTTTACAAACTATATGGAAACCTCTTAGGAAACCCAACTTAAGTAGATCTGGCCAAGTCCAGAGAAACAGTATAAAATATTTAAAAAGAAGAAGAAGAAGAACAGGCTGGAGTCAGACAGACCTGGGTTCAGATCTCACTTCTGAAGCTCAGAAACAAAAAAGGAGGGAACAAGAGTAGTCATCCTAAAGGGGTGCTGATGGATTAGTGACAATTCATATAAAGCACATGTCATATGGTAAGTTCTCAGTAAATGATAATACTTTTGGTCAGGTGTAGAACTTCTTTGTTTAAAATTTTTGTCTTAATGTTTAGATTTGTGTATGTTTATATAAAAAAGTTTAGCCTGTATACAAATAAAGAGTTATCAAATATTTTACTATGAGATATGACCACTAGGTGTGCGAGCCAACATGGATATGAAGTCAGCATTATCACCCTGACTTGATGAATAAGGACACTAAAGTCACCTGAAGTTAAGGGTGTTACCCAGAATGTTCCACCTGGCAGTAGTTACTACTTCTATACTTCTGAAGACTTGTGATTTACAATCTATAAAGTATGTGCCATTGGGAGGGAAACATGATCTAACAGGCATTTTGAAAAGTTAGAGTAGAAAAGTTGCAATACAAGAAGCATCTGTGTAAGTCACTTTACCGTGTCTAGCAGCATCATGTCTTGACATGTTAACTCTCAGAAGGAAATTGTTCAGGCTGTTGAGATAAGCTGGTAGGGAGTGGTAGCCTTCGGGATCATACCATACCTATCAGATTCCAAGAGAAGCCAAGATCAAAACTGAGTTCAAATACATTAGGCCGCCTTTAAATCTGATATCTTACAGAATTATATTTAAAATAAGAGTACCAATTTCTGGACTTATTTTGGAAGATTGTGAATCATCTTCCAGCACGTTGAACATATACTTCTAAGTCTCCAACTTAGAGATGAGTAGAGATTAAAGATGGTTGTTTGGTATGACAGCACTATATTATCAGGTGGTCAGGATCATCTCCACAGGCAAAGCCTGAGATAAACTAGAGAAATTACTGTCTCCATATCAGTGTCCAGTCCATAGAGATTCTAGGACTAGAACTAAGGTCTTCTGGTACTCAGTAATAATAAGAAAAATAAATGGTGTATAGACCAGACTATAGAAAGAAATAAAGCACATGTATAATGCATTGTGTCCTAAAATCTAGAACAACTTTGAAATTCCCCTGCTAACTTTCTATTCCTAGTTATTCACTTCAAAGAATGAATTACTTTATCTTCTATGTCAAAAACAGAGATTTAAAATAATGGTCTATACCATTTTAAGAAACCTAGCTGATAATTACAAATGACAAATTTGATTTAGAGAGAAATTATTTTCCATTAGAAAACCCTAGTTTATAAAGAAAATTTATTCTGTGGTTTGAGGGGGGAGAAGATAAACAAAAAGAGGGAATTCAAATCCCTAGCACTATTCACTTCCTGTGTGACCTTGTGAAAATTAGCTACAATAGATCCAGTATCTATCTCAGAGGGATGTTGTGAGGATGAAATTAGGCAGTTTGTGTATAAAGTAATCCTAGTGGCTTGGCATGTCATAGTCCTCAATTGTTATTAGCTGCCCTATTTCCCCCAACCTCTATATATTCCCTACTATAAAAGAAAAATTATGTGAAGACCAGTTGAAAATTCCTAAGATCACACAGTTAAACATATGTGTCTGATTCTCTGACTTTAGCTTGTTTCAGAGCCTCAGTAAGTTATAGAGAAAAAATATCCAACAGGTTTGTTTATCTCCATCAAATTCAGTTGAGTTTCCATGTTCTTTTAGTATCAAGATTAAATACACATATTTTTATTTCATAAAAATTGTGACCCATACAAAAAGAAAAATGTATAAAACCTAAATGTAGAATTTTGAATAAAGTTATAAAGAGAGCACATACATTTAACCATCACCCAGGTTGAGAAATAAAATATTGCCAGCACCCAGAATACTTCCTCACTGACCCTCTGTGTCCTTCCAAATCACTATATCCTCCCTGCACCCTAAAGAAGATGGTGGAGTTTTGTCTACTTTTAAAGTTTATCATTAATGCAATCATACTTCATAAAGTCTTTTTTTTTTTTTTTTTTTGCTAATTCATAGTATTTGGCAGATTTAGCCTGCTTACCGTATGGAGCTGAATTCATTCATCTCCATTGCCGAAAGTTCCATGAAATAAATATGTAATGATTTATTTCTTTATTCTACTGTATATGGGCATTTGGAATTGTATTTTTTGTCTATTATGAGTAATTATACCACAAACAGTGTTGTACATTTATTTTAGTACTATATGTACATGTGTATATGTTTCCATAGGCTGGAACGCTGCTATAGGGTATACTTATCTTATTGCCAAACTGTTTTTCAAATTGATTGTACCCATGTTTTGTTTTTATATCAGGAAAATGCTTGAACCTATCAATTTCACATTCGCATTTGTATAACATCCCAGAAGAAAGATCATGAATTACCTTAGCAAGTGTTCTATTGACAGGGACTTCTGTTATATCAAAGCGAAGGTCATTAGTCAATGGCAGTCCAAAACTCCAACCTCCATATCTAATGGAATAATGAAATTCATATTAGTTTTAATGGAGAAGATTTGCATAAATAGATCTAAAGGACTAAACTAGGAACTCAGTTTTTTCTTCTTCTTCTTTCCATTAGGAATACATTTATTGTATAAAATTAATACAGCCTGACAAATGCTTTACATTTTTATTGATTTTCTTTATCACATTTTAGTCAAAAGTGTACAATATAATTAGAGGGAAAAATAATCTAAATAATTGCAAATGTGGAGTGATTATTCTGAAAATGAGTGACATATAAATTGATCATTTTCTCCATCTTGACTGATACATGTACCATATTAAGAATCTTAACATTTTAGTACTTACATAAGTCCTTTTTTTTTTTAATAATAGTAATACAACATCAGCTCTTATCTTTTTCAAATAGCTCCCTTTGTTCTATTACTCTATCTGCCCTAGCTTGTCCCCTAGGTACTGTGTATTTTCTGTCTCTGGATGGCTGCAGTTGAGTCTATTTAACTACCTGTCACTTCATGGTCTCCTAAAAATGAAAAGTTGTTTCTAGAAAACTCCAAGTAGTAATAAGAATATTGTTATTAAGTGTATGGAGAGGCTGGCTGGGTTTTAACAGCCAACCTTTCGGTTAACAGCCAAATGCCTAACTGTTGTACCAACAGGGCTCCTTAGTAAGAAGAATTGTTAATATAGATTAGTTTGAATGTCTGTCAGTTACGTCAGGTTAAATACAAATGGTCCATTCACATCAGAATCATCCTAATGTGATGATATAGAGCTATATTTTTGACATGCAAAGATCGCCATCATGTATTATTCACTTTTTTTGAAAAAAAAAAAAAAGCTGATTTTAAAAACATAATAAACCTGGTTTTATTGAAAATAGTTACATGTGTATTTGTAGCTGGAAAATTTCAGGAAGGATATACACCAAAATACCAGTGGTAGTTATATCTGGGTGTAAAGGTATTGTTTTTTCTTCTTTTTTGTATCTATGTAGTTTCTAATTATTTTATAGTGAATATTAATCATTTATGTATATTAAAAACAGAAGAAGGAAGGAGATAGAGGGAAGAAGAAAATGGTAGCTACTGCAAGCTTTCCATCCATGATGAATGATTAATTGGCTTGGTACAAGCCTTTGACCTTGCTATGTGTAAACAAATTTTATAAACATGCAGGAATCATACTCTAAGTCCTTTATGTTGAAACTAATGCTGGTTGTCATCAAAAGCCATGGCCTCTCTCAGTTGGAATAATACAACCAATAACTTCTCTCTTGCTTTAAGAAAATAGTGTGTGTGAATTTAACAGTGTATTTTGAGGCTTAAAATAAAACAAAAACCAATGCTTTTTCAATTTGCTCAGATGAATTTTAAATTAGAATCATTACCAAAATTTCAATACATGAAGCTGTTTAAATTAAACTGAGAATTTAACCACGTAAATAATCAATGGAAATTTGCATCTATTGTCTACATTGTCTCAAGTTGAGAATGAAATTAGAATTAGGAAGCAGGGTATGCTAAATTTAATGTTATAAACAGAACAATTTACCTTTTCTGTGTAAACTCATTGGCAGTTGATATAAGATAATTTTCCATGTGGTGCCTACTGAGGTCATAAATTACTTGGGATGAATAAGTTCTTCTATGAGGTGGGAAATAGTTAGATTCTGGACATTTCTGAAAAATAAAATAAAAAATTAAGTTCTTTCTGGCCAAAGCAGTGCAAACCAAATAGTTTCAGTCAAGGAGTTTCAGACTCATGATTTGTCTATTACTACAGTTGGTGGAGTGTGATGAGACTGTCCTTGAGCTTGAAAAAGCTTTGCAAAATAAGTCATTTTGCCAAGAAATTAGAACAAATGGCTATTACTAATGTGGAATGGGTACATATGTTTAGGATTTGCTTATAGGCTACAGAAAAACACAGGTTAACTAATATGTGATCTTTCTTTCACTCTACTGACAAAGTTTGATATGTTTGGAGAATAACGTCAAACAATAAGATGATTGAAAATTCCCTCAGTAATTCAGAGGGAAGGGAAATGTATTTGTCTCCAAATTGAAAAGAACTTTTCAGGGACTTCCAGTAATGGATAAAAATGTTGTGTTTCATTAGTTTTAGGTACAAAATTTAGGCATCAATGCTTAGTTTATATATGTATAAACTTTTTATTTTGGAAAATTTTATATTTATGGAAAAATTACGAAGGTAGTACAGAGATCCCTGTATACCTCTCACACTTTCCTCTGTTGCTGACACCTAACTTTATCATTCTACATTTGTCAAAAACAAGTACACTTGTACATCACTATTAACTAAATTCAGAGCTTAGTTTTAACTACCTGTTTTCTGCTCAAATATTTCTATACTTCCTGATCACTTGCTTTTCAATGAGCTTCTCATGGGTCACTGTCATGACATTTTCTTTGGAAAAGTCTAGCACTTTTTCAGGTCTTCCTTCTAGTTCTTCACACTATGTCTCAGAGCCTAAGGCTAGTACACATGTGTGCCTTAAAAACAGAAAGTTGCAGGTTACTATAAAAAATGAATGCTGGATTTTGCCTTACATTTCTCTAGTTGTATCAGCTTGAAGATCACACTTTAGAATGCCACTGATTTCACCAATATAATAATTAAAGACTTCGTGTGTATGCAGTACAATTATTTTAGCTTTAACATTTTATCAAATTATAGATACAGAAAAGCACACATATAATAAGTGCACTGCTCGATGAATTTTGACAAACTGAACACACCTATGTAACCAGCAAGTGGGTCAGGAAACAGAACAGTACTCACTCAGTGCCATTGAATTGAGTCTGACTCATAGTGACCCCCCATAGGGTTTCCAGGGGTGTGAAGTCTTTACAGAAGCAGACTGCCCCATCTTTCTTACGCAGTGTGACTGGTAGGTTTGAACTACCCATCTTTTGGTTAGCAGCCAAATGCCTTAATCACTGCACCACCAGAACTCCTTAGAACAATACTTGTACCCTAAAAGTCCCCTCATCATGTTCCCTTCATACCAGTATGATCTCTAATGTAATGAGTACAGATTAGTTTTGCCTGCTCTATATTATATAAATAGAATATGTTGTTGTTATGTGCAGTCGAGTCAGATCCAACTCATAGCGACCCCTCCTTGGGTTTTTGAGGCAGTATCACTATGGAAGTAGATTGCCCAACCTTCCTTCCAAGGAGTGGCTGGTGGGTTTGAAC